TACCTCAACTTTGATAAGTTTTACTATAGGCCACAGCAACGCGTGGCAGGGCACAGCTAGTATAATATATATATATATATGAGTAGATAGGTAAGATAAACAAGAAGATAGATAAGATAGATAGATAGATAGATAAGATAAATAAGAATGTATATATAATAAACGATAGATATATAAGATAAACAAGAAGATCGATCGATAGATAGATAGGATAAATAAGATAAATAAGAATATATATATATAATAACATGATAGATAGATAAGATAAACAAGAAGATCGATCGATAGATAGATAGGATAAATAAGAATATATATATAATGAGACGATAGATAGATAAGATAAACAAGTATGTGTGTGTGTGTATGTATATATATATATATATATATATATATATATATGAGAAGATAGATAGGTAAGATAAACAAGAAGATAGATAAGATAAATAAGTAGATAGATAAGAAGACAGATAGATGATAGATAGATAAAATAAATAAGAAGATAGATAAGATAAATAAAATGATAGATAGATGATAGATAGATAAAATAAATAAGATAGATAGATAGATAAGATAAACAAGTAGATAGATAGATAGATAGATAGATAGATAGATAGATAAGATAAATAAGATGATAGATAGATAGATAAGATAGATAATATAAATAAGATAGACAGATAGATAGCGTCATGGAATCTTAAAGCTGGAAGGGACGCAAGGGCCACCCAGACCAGGCAGGAAGGCACAACTGAAGCCCTCCTGACAGATGTCCATCCAGCCAAAGATTTATGGCCACTGACATGAGAGAAAGAGAGGAGGGGGAGGAAGGAAGATAAATATGATTAGCCCCGCATGGAATCATGGAGAGAATGAGGAGTTTCCAAGCTGAGTTCAGGGATCAGTGGCCAAGGCAGAATGGAGGGGGGCTCCGACTAGAGAGGCCTCTCCTCTCCCCAGGAGTCACATAGCACTGAGCCAGGGCTAAAAGGGCACCTAGGCAGCCTTGAATGAACGGCCTTGCAGAACTGCAACTCCCAGGATCCCCGTAACACGGAGGCAGGAGGGGGGAAGTGTGTCCAGACTCACCCAAGGGCCGGGAGGGCAGCCCCACGGCCCCCATGTCGCTGAAGAGGTCGTTGAAGTCCCGGAAGAGCTCCTCGAACCCAAAGGCGTCGTGGAAGCGCATCCCGCCGGGGCCAAAGGGGAAGCCAAAGCCCCCAAAGGCGCCAAAGCCCCGCGGCCCAAAGGAGGGGCCGCCGTCATCATCCTCATCCTCTTCGTCATCCTCCTCCTCCCTTGTGATGCCCCCAAAGAAGGGGTCGCGGGGCCTGGTAGACAAGAGAGAAGGACAGGTCACACGCTGACCGCACAACCTGTGTTCCTGGGATGGGCATTTATTACAAGATATATATACACACACATACAATATATATATATGTAGGTCGTTGTAGGGCTTTTTGGGCTGTATGGCCATGATCTAGAGGCATTCTCTCCTGACGTTTCGCCTGCATCTATGGCAAGCATCCTCAGAGGTAGTGAGGTCTGTTTGACATATATATATACACACACACAATATATTATATTATTAGCATAGTACAATATCAGTATTCTATATTACTATGTTGTACTATACCATTATATTGTTAGTAATATATAAATATATATAATAATCATAATATCATATTATTAGTATTCTATAGCATTACATTATAATATATTATATGTATATACAATATATAATTAGCATAGCACAATATCAGTATTACATATTACTATATTGCACTATACCATTATATTGTAATATTATTAGTAATATTATGTGTAATATAAAATATATAATTGTATTTATATATATATCATATTATTAGTATTATATTGCATTACACTATATGTATATGCAATATATTATTAGCATAGTACAATATCAGTATTATATATGACTATATTGTACTATACCATTATATTGTAATATTAGTAATATTATGTGTAATATAAAATATGTAATAATAATATCATATTATTAGTATCAGTATTATATATGACTATATTGTACTATCCCATTATATTGTCATATTATTAGCAATATTACATGTAATATACAATGTATATTTATAATATATTATTATATTATTAGTATTAGTATAACATTGTATTACACTATAACATTATAAATATTATATTATATTATTAGCATAGTACATCAGTATGATATATGACTATATTGCACTATACCATTATATTGTAATATTATTAGTAATATTATGTGTAATATAAAATATATAATTATAATATCATATGATTAGTATTATACAGGGTTAGTCAAAATGAATAGGCCAATAATGAATAATGAATAATGAATATTGGCCTATTCATTTTGACTAACCCTGTATTGCATTACATTATATGTATATGTAATATATTATTAACATAGCGCAATATCAGTATTATATGTTACTATATTGTACTATACCATTATATTGTCGTATTATTAGTAATATTACGTGTAATATAAAATATATAATTATAATATCATATGATTAGTATTATATTGCATTACATTATATGTATATGTAATATATTATTAACATAGCCCAGTATCAGTATTATATGTTACTATATTGCACTATACCATTATATTGTCGTATTATTAGTAATATTACGTGTAATATAAAATATATAATTATAATATCATATGATTAGTATTATATTGCATTACATTATATTATATGTATATGCAATATATTATTAGCCTCGGCCTTTGTCAGCCGCATTGAGTCCTTTGGGAGATTTTGCGGGGTATAAATAAAGTTAATAAATAAAAATAATAGTAATACTATTAGTAATATTACGTGTAATATAAAATAGAAAATTATATTATTAGTATTATACGTATATACGATATATTATTAGCATAGTACAATATCAGTATTATATATTACTATATCGTACTATACCAATATATTGTTATATTATTAGTAATATTACATGTAATATAAGATATATAGTTATAATATCATATTATTAGTATTATATTGTATTACATTATAATATTACATTATATGTATAATCGGAAGGGGACCCCAAAGGTTATCCAGTCCGACCCCCCTTCTGTCAGGCAGCACAATTCGATCTCTCCCAACAGATGGCTAGTCAGCCTCTGCCTAAAGACATTATATTATATGTATATACAATATATTATTGTTGTTGTGCATTCGTTCAGTCATTTCTGACTCTTCGTGACCTCATGGACCAGCCCAGGCCAGAGCTCCCTGTGGGCCGTCCCCACCCCCAGGGTCTCCTTCAAGGTCAGTCCAGTCCCTTCAAGGATGCCGTCCATCCACCTTGCCCTTGGTCGGCCCCTCTTCCTTTTGCCTTCCTCTTTCCCCAGCATCATTCCCTTCTTTAGGCTATATTATTAGCATTATACAATATCAGGATGATATATGACTATATTGTACTGTACCATTATATTGTCATATTATTAGTAACATTACATGTAATATAAAATATATAATTTTAATATATTATTATTAGTAGTATTATATTGCATTACATTAGAATATTATATGTATAATCGGAAGGGGACCCCAAAGGTCATCCAGTCTGACCCCCTTCTGCCAGGCAGCACAATTAGATCTTTCCCAACAGATGGCCAGTCAGCCTCTGCATAGAGACCTCCAGAGAAGGTGATGGATAGATAGATAGATAGATAGATAGATAGATAGATAGATAGATAGATAGTAGAGATGGATGGATAGATAGATATTGTAGGGTTAGAAGAGACCCCCCAAAGAGGGCCATCTAGTCCAACCTTCTGCCAGGAAAAAAAGACACCATTCAATCCCTCCTGATAGATGGCCATCCAGCCTCTGCTTTAAGACCCCCAGAGAAGGTGATAGAGAGATAGATGGATAGATAGATAGAATCCCTTCTGCCAGGGAAAGACACAATTCAATCCCTCCCAACAGATGGACATCCAGCCTCTTCTTAAATACCTCCAGAGAAGGTGATAGAGAGATCGATAGATAGAGAAGAGACCCCTAAAGATAGGCTATCCAGTCCAAATCCCTTCTGCCAGGAAAAAAGACACAATTCGATCCCTCCTGACAGATGGCCATCCAGCCTCTGCATAAAGATCCCCAGAGAAGGAGATAGATAGATAGATAGAGAGATAGATAGAGAAGAGACCCCCCAAAGAGAGCCATCCAGTCCCAACCCCCTTCTGACATGTGAGAAGACACCATTCGATCCCTCCTGACAGATGGCCATCCAGCCTCTCCATAAAGACCTCCAGAGAAGGTGATAGAGAGATAGAATTGTAAGAGTTAGAAGAGACCCCAATAGCCATCCAGTCCAACCCCCTTCTGCCAGGGAAAAAGACACCATTCGATCCCTCCCGACAGATGGCCAGTCAGCCTCTGCTTAAAGACCTCCAGGGAAGGAGGTGGACGGATAGAGGGATGCTTGGGCCTCCCTCCTCCTCCTCCTCCTCCTCCTCCTTCCCCACCTGTTCCCCCCCTGGAAGCCGAAGAAGCCCCGAAAGAGGTCGTAGACGCTCATTTCCGCCCGGCTGCCGTCAAGCGAGGGCCAGCGCGACACCCTCCACGTCACTCTGTCGCAAAAGGGAAGCGCGGCCGTCAAGCCAGGAAGGCGCCCCCTTCGGCCAAAGGCGCGCCTCTTCCTCCTTCGAGACTCTAGACTTAGGAAAGGTATAGAGATCCAAACTAGCGGCGAAACTCAAGTCTCTTTAGTTAGGGGGATTTCCATCCAATTTCCTCCAAACTGCAGCTCCCTAAATTTTATTGTAATTTATATGTTTTTCATATTTGCTATGTTTTATACATTTTATATATTGTAATAATAAAATTTTATTATATTTTATATATTTTAAATATTATTATATTTTATACATTTTATATATTGTAATAATAAAATTTTATTGTAATTTATATATTTTTAAATATTATATTTTATATATTGTAATAACAATATTTTATTATATATTACACTTTTATTATGTGCATAGATTATGATGTAATAATAATATTTTAATAATATTAATTATTATTATATTTTATATATTTTTCATATTTTATACATTTTATATATTGTAATAATAACATTTTATTATATTTTATATATTTTAAATATTATTATATTTTATACATTTTATATATTGTAATAATAACATTTTATTATATATTACACTTTTATTATGTGCATAGATTATGATGTAATAATAATATTTTAATATTAATTATTATTATTATATTTTTCATATTTATTATATTTTATACATTTTATATATTGTAATAATAACATTTTATTATATTTTATATATTTTAAATATTACTATATTTTATATATCGTAATATATTACACTTTTATTATGGGCACAGATTATGATGTAATAATAATATTTTATTATATTTTATTATATTTTTCATATTTATTATATTTTATACATTTTATATATTGTAATAATAACATTTTATTATATATTACACTTTTATTATGTGCATAGATTATGATGTAACAATATTTTATTATATTTTATATGTTTAAATATTTATTATATTTTATACATTTTATATAGTGTAACAATATTTTATTCTATTTTATATATTTGCAATATTTATTATATTTTATACATTTTATATATTGTAATAATTTTTTATATTTTATATATTTTAAATTATGTTTTATATTTTATACATTTTATATATTGTAATAATATTTTATTGTATATTACACTTTTATTATGTGCATAGATTAAGATGTAACAATATTTATTATATTTTATTTATTTTTAAATATTTATTATATTTTATACATTTGGGAGTTGTAGTTGCTGGGATTTATAGTTCACCTCCAATCAAAGAGCATCCCAAACTCCACCTACGCAGGAATTGAACGAAACTTGGCACACAGTTCTCCCACGACCAACAGAAAATCCTGAGAGGGTTTGGTGGGTATTGACCTTGAGTTTGAGAGTTGTAGTTCACCTACATCCAGAGAGCACTGTGGACTCAAACAACGATGGATCTGGACCAAACTCTACACGAATACTCAATATGCCCAAATGTGAACACTGGTGGAGTTTTGGGGAAATAGACCTTGACATTTGGGAGTTGTAGTTGCTGGGATTTATAGTTCACCCACAATCGAAGAGCATTCTGAACCCCACCAACGATAGAGTTGAACCAAACTTGACACACAGCTCTCCCATGACCAACAGAAAAGACTGGAAGGGTTTGGTGGGCAGTGTCCTTTGGTTTTGGAGTTGTAGTTCACCTACATCCAGAGATCACTGTGGACTCAAGCAATGATGGATCTGGACCAAACTTTACACGAATCCTCAATATGCCCAAATGTGAACACTGGTGGAGTTTGGGGAAAATAGAATCTTGACATTTGGGAGTTGTAGTTGCTGGGATTTATAGTTCACATAAAATCAAAGAGCATTCTGAACTCCTCCAACAATAGAAATGAACCAATCTTGGCACACAGAACTCCCATGACCAACAGACAATACTGGAAGGGTTTGGTGGGCATTGAACCTTGCATTTGGGAGTTGTAGTTCACCTACATCCAGAGATCACTGTGGACTCAAACAATGATGGATCTGGACCAAACTTGGCACGAATGCTCAATATGCCCAAATGTAAACACTGGTGGAGTTTGGGGGAAATAGACCTTGAGATTTGGGAGTTGTAGTTGATGGGATTTATATTTCACCTACAATCAAAGAGCATTCTGAACCCCACCAAGGATAGAATTGGGCCAAACTCCCCATGCAAGAGATCCCCCGCTTGTTTTCCGCTGCAAAAATCACTGCAAAACATTCCAAAATCCGTTTTTAATACTGTTTCGAAAGATTACAAAAGGCAACCGAGATCTAGAATGTTCTCCCTTTTGGGGGCTTTGCACCGACCGACCGACCGGGGGGGGGGGGGGGGGGGGGGTCTTTCCTATGCGTAACGTGGAACTCGGTGCAAACAATCCCCGAACAATCCCTTTTTCCCCCCACAAAATAAAAGATAATCTATACTGTAGAATGGCCGGGACTCAAGACGGGGCACAATCTGATCCCTCCTGACAGATGGCCATCCAACCCAATAGGAAAAGGGCAGGTTAAGGGATGAAATAGAGGCTATGGAAGAGTTGGAAGGGAACCCCAGAGGCCATCCAGTCTATCCTCATTTCTACCAGGCAAGGAGACACCATCTAATTCCTCCCAACAGATGGCCATCCATCCCCATAGGCATGCGCAGGCTCATAGTTGAAACAGACCTTGGGAAACTACAACTCCCAGGACGCCGTAGCGGTTTGAGTGGGGCCAAGCTACGTAAAAAAGACAAAAGGCCTTGGGAAACTACAACTCCCAGGATTCCCACTGCATTGAGCCCAAAGGCAGGGGTGAATCTGCATCCATTCTACATTATGGTCCATGGTTATAATAGACCTTGGAAAACTTCAACTCCCAGGACCCTGTAACAGTTTGAGTGGGGCCAAGCTGCGTGACCTCTTGGGCATTAAAAAGGCCAAAGGCCTTGGGAAACTACAACTCCCAGGATTCCCACTGCATTGAGCCCAAGGCAGGGGTGAACCTGCATCCATTCTACATTATAGAAGCCTCCAGAGAAAGAGAAAGACCTTGGGGAACTACAACTCCCAGGACTCAGTGTGGTTTCAAGTGAGGGGCTGAATCCGCATCCATTCCTGCTTCCGGCTCCTTGATCCCAGGGGAAAGGAGAGCCATTCAGAACCAAAGGATGTGCAGAGGAGGAGGAAGAGAGAGAGAGAGTGATCCAGCCAGCTGGACCTCTGTCTTGGCACATCAAGCAGGCTTCCATCCATCTGTCCGTCCATCGTTAGGCCAAGGAGCACTTGCTGTGGCTTTTCTGCGCCCTTTTGAGGTCCACGGGGCCCTTGGGTTGCGGAGCCTGGGAGGAAGAGGAAGAGGAAGAGGAAGAGGAAGAGGAAGGAGAGGCTTGGACCCATGTTGGGACTGCAATGGCCACAATCCACTCCCTGCCTGGCTGTATGGGGGAAACTATTATTATTATTATTATTATTATTATTATTATTATTGGGTTGTTGTAGGTTTTTTCAGGCTATATGGCCAT